TAGATTTAATATTATTAATAAGCTTTTTAATTTATTTTATAAAATATGATGTATCAGAAGTGATGATACAGCCTATAATTTATATATATAATTATTTTAAATTAATTTGTTAATATAAAAAAAACTAACTTTTTTAGTTGCTTCTTCACTATCTAATTTAGCTGCTTCTATATAATAATTTAAAGCTTTATTTTTATCTTCTTTAATTCCAATTCCATTTTCATAACAATTACCAAGTTTAAATAAAAGAGCAGAATTGTTATTATTAAGTTTTTCTAATTCTAATAATGCTAAGAAAGTTTTTTTATTGTTAAAAACTGCTTCTTGACATTGATCAATAAAATTTTTAGCAACTAAGCAATTATTATTATAAGCTTTTTTTAAATATTCTAAAGCTTTATTATTATTTTTTTTAATGCCTTTTCTTTCATAATAACATTTTCTTACAACAAGCATTCCTTCTGGAATTCCAAATTAAGCAGAAGTTAAAAAATATTTAAATGCATTTTCATCATTTTTTTCAATTTTATTAGCATAAGCTGCACCCAAAAAATATAATATTTTTGGATATAATTCTTTTATTTTTTTAGAATCATTAATATCTTCGATTATATCTATATCTATAGATTGAAGAAAATTTTAAGACATTGTAAAGAGTTAAAAATAAACAATAAAATTGACATACCATATAATAAATTCATTTTGTGTTCAACAAATTTTTAATTTATATAAATTTGTAATATTTATGTTACATATTTTTAAATTAATTTTAATGTGCTTTTTATAGTTTTTTAGTAGAAAAGTGATTTTTTCAAAGTTATTTAAAGTCTATTAGAAAAAAAGTTTAGTTCTAAGAAAAATTTTTGTTAATATATACATTTTATTTTAGAGGTCTGTTTATATACATATGGTAATCCTAGAATGAATTAACACTATTAGTTTTATTTATGTATATGCTATCATTACTAGTAAATAGAACTATTTAAGGTAATTTTACTTTTTATATTTGATCAAGGATTAGTCTGACAATAGTTATGTTCGGAGCAAATATTTGTAAAGAAAACTAACATTTATATATATATCAAATATCTGAATGTCAATCCTATCAAGATAATAATTAATTCTAGAAAAAATATTTATTTCAGTAAACTTATATATACCAATATTCTAAAAAGTACAAGATCAACTAAAAATAAACTCTAACAATATTCTAATAATTTTTTCATTTTTCAAAGAAGGTTTATTAATTTTGTATTGAATAGATCATTGATTCATTTAAAATTTTATATAAAATCCAGCCTTAAATTAAATACATTTTGTAGAATATTTATATCAATCATGTTGTTAATCATGATAAAATTGTTAAATTCTATTTCATTTTCAAATATTTCTATCTTCTTCTGTATTTCACTTGTATTTTATATTTTTCGCCAGTATTTCAGGTTTTTTAATAAATAAATAAATATTTATTAATTAATTTGAATGCATACTTGTTTAATATTATAGAAATAAATTAGTAAATTGTTTAGAGGTTAAATAATTTTGTTGACATTTAAATAAATAGTATAAAAAATAGAATAAAGTAAGTAAGTAGTTTAAACTTTTAACTTGTTAATAAGATTGTGAAATATCTATTTTTATAATTATTTTTTAGATGGATTGATTTTATTACTAATGCGACTTCGGTTTAGGTCACAGATAATGTCGTCTGAGCTTTAATTCTTGCATGTAGTTTTTATTTTATATTTTATAATCTTAGTATATTCTTAATATATAGTATATTAATATGTACAACTAAAATTACTAATAAAGATATAAGCAAGGCCTCACCTTAACACCAAAAAAAAAAATTACTAATGCAACTTATCTAGAACATAATACTATATATAAAATACAGCTAATTTTATCGTATTTTTAATAATTTATTTATATATGAAGTTATTAAATAGTTTTGTAGATTTATATCAATTTGTATTATTAAAATCATTTTAATATTTGATTATATAATTGCTTTGTTAATGACTATTTATGTTTTTGTATATTTTGAAATTTAGATATAGCTTTTTTTCTTTATCTTTTATGAAAAGTCATATTTAAGCCAACCCTTGTAAATTAAAGATTATTTTTAAAGTTAGTTTTCTAGCACTTCTTAGAAACTATTTGTTAAGAATGGTTACTTGTGTAATATTGCATTTTCAAAAAGTACTTTAAAACACATAAATAAATTACCTAAGCAATTGATTTATTAACCATTTAGACAAATTTCTGTATGATTTTATACTATATAGTTTTGATAATGATTACTAAATTTAGATGTGCAGTTTGATAATTGAATAAATATATTGTGTTTCTGTTTAGTTAGTTGCAAAATTATTTTATTTAATATGCAGTTTTGATAATAATTACTAAATTTAGATACACAGTCTTGATAAGCAGTCTTAATATTTAATTTTTTTTTAATTATATGTAGCATAGTTTTGAAAAGAATTACCAAATTTAGATATATAGTCTTGAATAAACTAATTATATGTTGCATTATATATCACACAATTAATAATTTTAATAAATGTTAAACTAATAGTATAAATAAATTCATACAATAAAGTTTTAATGTGATCATCATGTGATTAAAACTAATTATATATCACGTAGTTAAACTAATAGTATAAATAAGTTCATATAACAAATTTTTAAAGTAATCATCATGTGATTAAAACATGTGATCGATAATTGTTCATATAAATTCGATTGTTTTGCTAATCCTTTTTTTTTAGATGTTTTCTTTCAAACACCTCATATAGGGCATATTGTATGAGACAATTCTGGATTCTATGCAGGGAATTTGGACCACTTATAGTCATAGATGGCCTGGGTTATAGAAAGCTAATTCCTCTTCTTGTTCTCTAGGGAACATCTAAGTTTTAGTAAGTAATAATTTCTTGTAAAGGGTAAACATTTTGTTATGCCTGGCCGGTACGGACTGGACAGCAGATGTTTAACCTAAAGCATAAGTGGCCTGTTCTTCTTAGGGTACCCTAGTGAGGCTATGGTCTTCTTGCATAGGTAAGGATTGTCTTGATACAGGTTGGTGCTTATGAATATATCCCTCATCAAAATCTCAGCTTCTAAGTAGTGAGATTTGGTAACTTACAATTTTGTAAGGCTGATACATATCAAAACGATTCTTGTAACAAATTTTAAAAATTTTGAAAAATTTGTCAGTTTTTAAAATGTAATTTCTGAAAAATTTATTAATAAAATAAATAAAATGGTTCTATGAAACTATAAGTTTTTTGATGTGTTCTACATTTTTTATTAATGACATAAAATCGATTAGCTTAGTAAATTTTTGTATAAAATGTGATTTTTGTACTGATGCCGATTTAAAAACAAATGATTTGCAAAGACAACATGAAAATTGTTTCATCAAAAATTGACCTAATTTCATGAATATAAATCTGTTTGACTTGAAATTTATTATATGAATTCTTGAATGTCATCTATACCAACTTCATTAGTATCATACAGTATATTTTCTTTAAATGAAATAATCAAATTAACAAAAACAGTTTTGTAAACTTTAAAGAAAAATTTTCATTAGTAGTTTTTTAATGAAAAAATAGTATATCTCCATGAATTATTGATGAATCAAGCTCAAATTTTCAGGAAAAAATTTCATATACTTATTCTATCAATTATCTTAATATGCAGTATAAGGTTTAGAATCATGATAAAAAATGATGAGTTCAATTGATCATTGTTTTCATCAAAGACATGAATTCGTCTACAAAAGAAAATAGAAAAACATTAATATCTTGATGAATATTAACTCTAAAAATCTGAAAATTTATATACTAATAAATGAAAACATGCTCAACAAATTTACTTAGAAGTGTAAAATAGGTTTAGAATAAGAAAAATTTATCCACAGCTGATTTTGATAGACTATTTTCTTTAGAAAATTGTTTATATATGTTTTTAAAGAGAAAAATCATTATTTTTCAATGAGGTTACATTCAATATTCATAAAAACAGAGCTTCTAATACTTCTAATTATACTGAACAACTTTTATTAAGACTACAAAATCACATAACATAATAAACTTTTCTCTAAATTTGATTTGTATCTTTTCTTTTTCTTATAATCGTTTTAAAAAATATAAACAAAACCATTTTTATAAGTTTTATATAAGTTTTTTTTAGCCGAAACTATTTATTTTTTTTAGCCAAAATAAAGAAATTAGAAAAATGACCCAGTAGCTTAGTTTTTTTTTTTACCAACATTACAACCATAAATTCTCCTACTGTAGCTAATAATGTTAGTCAAATTTCCTTTTTTAGTAGATTTAAGTGATCTACAAATCAGCCTAAAAAATGACCCACTACTGTATACAAACCTTACATTACTGTGCCTTTAACTGCAGAAGTTACTAGGGTAACATTGGAAAAACCCTAGTGATCTTGTATATATTATTATATTGAAATTAATATTAGAAAATATTTCAAAGTAAACTATAAAAAATTTATCTTATTAGTTGAAAAAAAACAAATTTTTTTTTGAATATCTACTGTACATTCTTATTTTAAACCACCTTTAAGTTCTCATACAAGGCATTATTGCCTCTATAATGAACTTGATAAATATTTCTTGAAATATTAGTTCTTGGTATTGTTATTATAATTATTATTATTATTATTATTATTGATATTTTTTTATAAAAAAAAAAAGAGAAGAAAAAGATATAAATTTTTTTTTTCTTTCTTACAAATAATGATTAAATTTTTTCAATGAAACAAAATTAGAAACTAATTAAAAGTTGGTTTAACAAATTTAAGAATCAATTAAAAATTAATTTAACAAGTTAGAAATAATAATAATTTGTAAATTATATAATTACAAATAATAGAAATAGAAATTATTTTTAAAAAGCTGCAAGTAAAATGATAATATAGGCTAAAAAAATCAGTTGTAAGAAGATAGAGTACTGGTTAAAGTAGAAAAATAGATTAACTAATATACTAGCAAGACTGCTATGCAAATTAGTAACAAATGCAAGATTATAAGCAGAGTGAAGAGAAACAAATATGATTAAAAACTTAGAACTGAAAACAAAAGTGGCAATTTATAATTGAACATATTTTTGAAAAAAACTAAAATCAACCAAAAGAGTATATTGTACAACAAGAAGAGCCAGTACAAGAAGAAGTGCATTTATGAAATATATAATAGATAAGCTTTTAACATTAGAGGAACTTAATAGAAGAAGACCAAAAATATACACAACAACAGAGTGTCAAATATACTAAGACAAAATAAAAGAAACACAAATGTACTTGGTATCATGCAAAGGACAAAGAAGTCTTTAAAAAAGAATCCAAAAGATGGCTATTGCAACAGCATAGAAAAAATTAAAAAAAGAAAAGAAGATTCAGGTTTTTTTATATATTTTATATATAGTACATTTTGGAAAAACAAAAACTGAAGAAATAAAAATAAGAAAAGCATTAATTAAAAGCCTAATTCCAAAGAAAACACAAGATAAACTAATACAACTTTTAAATACAAAGTCAAAACAGCAGTTTGCAAATACAGTAGCAAAAATAGCCCAGAATATATTTTATAAACAGGTTTAAAGAATATGATATAAAAAGGTTAACAGTTGAAAAAAAGAAATAGAAATAATAAAGAAACTTAAGAAAG